TGTCAGGGCCAAAATGGTGGGTGCAGGCTAATAGATTTCCCGGGAGGCTGTGGTTTTTTGGCAACTCCCTTGGGCAGGCAAAGGCCTGAGCTCCTGCGGACGACTCTGTTCCCTAGGGCTGTGCTCATGGACACTGTGAGCCCTAGTTTCTCAGCAGGTACTAAGACTGCCAGGCCCTCTGATCAGGCTGCTTGTTGTCACCCGGTGTATTAGGCTCTGATCTTGGGGCCCCACAGAGATAGATGTCAGGTGGACTGGGAATCCCGAGGGGAAGTTGACTGACAGCTTTGAACGCGCCCCCATGCCCCAGATGCTCACCCACCCTGCCTCAACATATTCTCCACCACCCTCTCCTCCCTTTCTACAGAGAAGGCCACAGGAGGCAGCTGGCTGCGCCTGGCTCACAGAGGAGAAATTCGAATTGGGAGTTGTTCAGAGGTCCTGGTGCAGCACCTACCTGGAGGTGGGATTCAGAAGTCACTTCTCCTTCCAAGCCTCCGTGTTTCTGTCTGAAAGGGAGCACATCGGAACCTCTTCAAGGTGGGATTCCATAAGAGAATGTTGGGACAGCGACTGGCCTGGTGCCTGGCATGAGCCTTTGATAAGCACTAGCTGTTGGGATTATTGCACTACTTATCCCCTGAACCCAAGTCCCACTTCTGCCCACTGTGGAGAGGACATTGGATGGGGGGAGCAATGTCGGTTCAAGTCCTGGCTCTTCACTTACCAGCTGCAGATTCTTGGGCCAGTCGCCATCCTTGTCCCTCTGTTCCCAGGCAAACTGTAGAGGTCTGTGCAGCCATGACTGGTTCCTCAAAGGAAAAAGGGAGGAACTGCAGAGGGTCACCTCCAAAGGTGGCTGCAAGGACCCTCGTGCCTGTGTGCCATGAGACTGTGCAGCTCCTCCCATCAAGAGCTGGGGTCTGTCTTCCCTCCCACTAAATCTGGGGAGCCTGTGACTTGCCTTGGCCAATCGACTGCAGCCAGGCGATGCTGCAGGATGTCCTGGAAGCTTCCCTTCTCTCCATGGTGGAGATGAGCCACCAGGAAGTGTCTAGCTCGTCTGGAGAGACCATGTGGAAAGAGAGAAGCCAGCTGTCCTGCAGCCCTTCCAGCCTCCCCCCCTGAGGCGACAGACATATCAGAAGCTACCTTGGATCTTTCAGTCCCTGTCAACACCATGCAGAACAGAGATGAGCTGCCGTCCTCACCAAGCTCTGCCTACATTGCAGACTAGGAACATAAATAAATGGTTAGGATTTTAAGTCATTAAGTTTGGGGGTGACTGTTGTGCGGAAATAGATAACTGATGCAGTCCCTTAGATCCTACTGTACCATCTCAAACTTGGCTTGCACAAGGTTGAGCTCCTTGGCAACCTCTGATTGGACAAGGGGATAAACAGCTGACTGTGAGGCAGCCAATCTATTGGCTGGTAAGTGACCAATCACGTTTTTCCTCTGGAGAGTATGAATGAGATCAGAGACTCTAGCAAGCCAGACCAGGAAGGAGGAGGGACCAGGAGACTTTCAATGGGAACTGGGGGTGGGGGCAAATTTCAGCCTTGTGCAGGCTGTTATATCACCAGAGGACACCAAATTGGGGAGAGAAGTAGGAAAGGCAATAGACCATGAAACTGGGTTCTGTGAGGCTCCATAAGTCCTTTAACTCCAGCTGGTCCATGCTGTCTCTGCTTCTTGTAACACATGAACTCCAAAGCTCATGGTCCCTTGGCCAACTGGCCACAGAACTTCTGCAGGGACCAGTTAGAGGTCTACACTGCTCCTCTGACCCCTTTTTCCTCATCCTTTGTGACACCCCCTAACCTCCATCCTGCAACATACACAGATTGAGGCCTTGTCCTCCAGGGCCCCAGGTCTGGCCATTCTCTCTGTGCTGGACAGACAGGGGTGATGGCCCAGAGTCTGCTCCCATTCTCCCCACACAGCCCTAAAACTTTCAGTGGCAAAGCAGAAAGGATGACCAAGTTCAGGTCTACCTCAACCCCTTTGGGGTCCCAGCTCTTGAGACTCCATTGGTCCTGCACATAGCCCCTTCCACCCCCAGTCCTTGAGTTCAGTTACCACTCCCTTACTTGTCACACTAATAAAAGTGGTCACTAGTGTACCCTAAGCAGGTACCTGTGTAGGTAGGCACTTTACAACACTAATTTCTGACACCTTGTAAACAGTGTTCTTAACCCTGTTCTTCATACAGGACTCAGTGGTGATGATGGGATTTGAACCGAGGTCTGCCTGACTCTAGAGCAGGTACCATCTGCCACTCTGCTCTGTGACTCTAGGCAGGTACTTCCCATCTCTAGGCCCAATAGTCTGACTTGTGAGGGGTAAACCAGGGAGAGGTCTGGGGTTTGCTGATCCTTCCAGCATTTACCCTCCTAGGTGTTTGCTGTGGCCAGGGCCACTTGCTTGATAAAGGCAGGTTCTCACTTTTGTCACCCTTCCTCTCTAAGGTGTGCCTGTCTTTTGGAGGAGCAGGCCTGGGGGTTGCTCTCATCTTGCTTTCCTGGAAAGAGGGCTGGACCCTCAGGATTCAGAATCTGCATTTTCCCTAGTAGTTTCTGCCGATCTCACCCCCTTGGCCCCAGGCTGAAAGGTGAGCTTTGTGGCAGGTTCCACATCTCCACCTGGACTGAGCAGAGCGGGGGAGCTGTCAGGACTGTGGGGGGATGTGGAGGCCAAGGACACTTTGTCCCCCAAACCACTCTGGCTTCAGGTTCCTAGACATGCATGTGCCAGGGGAGAGGGTATCTGTTCTTCCTGTTTCCCCTGGAGAAAAGCCATGGAGAAAGTGGCCTCTCTAGTTTGGCTTCCCAGATGTTCCCCCTTAAACCTGGCAGGGCTCTTACAAGTACTGGGGTCCACCACCTCTTCGAGGGAGGAAGCCAGCAGGGAGCTGCTCTAGGCTGACCAGGCTTCCTGGCTCCCAGCCTGGACTCTGCCCAACAAGCTCCTTTGCTTAGGCCAACCAAGTCCCCTAACCCTAGACACTCACATTCTCCCTAACCTAAAAGCCACCTAATAATTCTCTCAAGGACTTGAGATTCCCCAGGGGGCCGCTTCCCTCCCAGTAGTCAAGAGTGAGTTGGCCTCTTGACTCCCCTACTCTTAGCAGAAGCTTGAAGCATCCCAGAGGGGCTAAGTAATGATCCCATGGGTTTCCTCTTGCCAGGGACATGCCAGCTGGGGTTTCCAGGGCTGGGCTATTGGGGAGCTGGCGCGCTGGTCTCTCAAAGGTTCGTGGCTTGTTGGTTTCCTGAAGCCTCAGGTTAGTTATGACTGATGTCTTGATGCACGTGCCTCAGAACCCTTCTTCCTGCCTCTTGGGCTCCCCAAAGTGTTCTCCTGCCTTGGAATGGCTCTAGGAAGCCCTGATCCAGGTTAAGAGTCTGTGGCTCCAGGAGTCTGAAACCAGACGCTGGTCCTTCCACTTTGAAACTGCAATTTCAGCTGAGCCCTCTGGTCCTCACCCTCTGCACCTGCACAAGAACTGGACTTGATAATAATCATTACTCCTACTGTCTCAGGAAAGCTTGCTGAGTCCCAGGTACTGCCCAATCAATAAACATACCCCGGCTCCCTCATTTGATCCTCCTAATGACCAAAAGTAGTACGACTGCCTTTATTTTACAGGTGAGAAGATTAAGAGGAGTTAAGTAACAATCCCACGCATTGGTTTTAGAATTAGGACTTAAGCTTGGACCTGAGATTCAGACCTCAGGGCCTTCTAAGCACTAGTCTAGGCTGTCACCAACGACCTCACCTTCTCCACGTCAATATTCCAGGGTCCTATAGAAAGATGATTTTGTTTTTTTCCCAGGACATAAAATCACAGTCCAGAGGCTTGACCATTCCCCAGAACCAGGAAGTCATGAGTGGTGCTTAGGGGAAAGGGCATGGGCAGGGTGGCCCAGCAGTTGGCTACAAACTACATCAACTGGAGCCAGGAGCAGAGTGGCCTCTTCGAGATGCCTGCAGAATGAATGAATAAGTGAATGACACAGTGCCAAATCCATGTCATCCACTACAGGCGTGGTTTTGAAGGTGCTAGGCATGTGGCTCTCTAGTTCATGCTGGTTCAGGTGGGGAGTAAGCCCTGAGAAGAGTCCTGATTGGAGGAGGCCCTTCTGAAACATTCTGGAAGTTTCTGGTTGCTAAGGGGTCACTTCCCTATTGCTGTCCCTCCTTGTTCAGTTGAGTCTGTGCCACCAGTTCCCACATCTCCCTTGGCCTGAGGATTAACAGGCCACAGGGTCATACCAGGTCTGTAGGATTGAATTCAAGATGTCTCCAGGAGCAAAAGGAAACTTGGAGGAGAGAAGCCAGTCCCCCACCCCAACCCCAACCGAGTGCATTCCCTGCCCATCCGAGATTAGGGGCATGTAAGCATGTGTGCTGCAGGTCAAGCTGCTACCCAGTTCCTTCAGCCAAGGTCATTGGATTCTGGGAAAGTTACAGGTGACCCATCTGGCTCTTTACTCTGTCACCTAGGCCACCGCTTCTTGTGGCTGAGTTTGGAACATCTAGGTTTGGTCTGAATGGGCCTGGTCAAGGCAGGGGCTGTTGTCTGGCCCTCTTGTTGAGCTCACATGCAAGGATAGGTCCAAAGTATGGCCTGGTGGCAGGAGGGACAGCTGAAAGGTAGGCTAGGTGTGTGGACAGTCCTGAGGGTAGCACACAGTAGATGCTCCATAAATGCTTGTGGAAAGAAGAGGAGGAGAGATCTGTGTGCAATCGCTATATACATCCCGGCCAAAGCTAGCTGGGCTTTGCCTAGGGGCCTCCCAGAATGAGGGTGGAAGAATCCACGGTGCTCTGGGGGTCAAGAGCCTTGTCGCTCAAGCCGATGTGCCTGGCAGTGGTCTAGGCTGGTGTCCTAGGAGGAGCCTCTGGAGCTGCCTCTTCCCCTGGCACCCCGCCGCTCTGCCCCCTGGAGGTCCCCTCAGCCCGTCCCCCAGTGAGATAATAATGACCATAATGAGAACAGTCACCCACACGTGTGCACAGGCTTTACAGGTTACAAAGTGTTTCACATACATCATCTCATCAGTCCCTCACAACAGCCCTGTGAGGTAGGCAGGGCAAGGAATGCTCCCATTTGTACAGATGTGGACCCTGAAGCCCAGAGGAGCCCAGAGGAGCCCAAAGGAGACCCGCTTGAGGCTACACAGCAAGTGAGCAGCAGAGCTGGGGCCAGAGGCCAGGTGTCAGGCCGGCCTTTGGCTCCTGGCTCTCTCCACTGACTGTGCCATCCCCCAGGAGGGCCCCAGTCCCTGTCCAGAGTCCCAACCACACGGGAGCTGAGACTCCCCCAACCTCCACGCAGTAGAGCTGCCTGGCAGACAGGCCCCCAACCCCATTGGGCAGCCCTGTCCCCTCCACTCACTCCCTGCAACCAGCCAGCCCAGAGCAGCGCCCAGACCTGCCACCCTGCCTGCTCCTGATGGCGCCCCAGCACGTGGGCGGGAGGGTGGGGGCTGGAACCTCCTTTCCTGTTTTCCTGAGTGATCCCTCCCCATAGGGGAAGAGAAGAGAAAGGAGGAAGAGAAAAACAAGAAACTGAGTTGGAAGAAGGCCCTGGAGCAATCAGGACGTCAAAAGTTTGCATTCCGACTAGCTATAGGAAATAGTTTTTTTCTCTTTTTATTATTTCAAGTTTTCATAAAAATCCATAACTATTGAAACCCAAGTTACAGAGGAAGTTCGTAACTTTTTTTTTTTTAATTGAATCATTGACTCTGCTGCCTGTCGTTCGTTGGCTCTTCACTCCAGTTTGTCAATGCAAGCCCCTGTGCAGGTGGGGTCCCCAGGCCTGGACTTCTGAGGTCCTGGTAAAAAGAGGGCAGGTAGTGAGGGCTGGCGGGGGGCAGCGGGGGTGGGAGGGAGAAAGAGTGTGTGGAGGGGCACGGAGGAGGTGGGAAGGACCGGGGAGTGAGCAGCTGCGGCCAAGCCCCTTCCCCTGCCCGGCGCGCCGGGGGTCCCTGCCCCCCGCCCTGTCCTCATATCATCTTCATGTTGAACTTGCGGGGCGCGTCGGCCGAGCTGATGCCTGCGTCTGACTTCCGGGGCACGTACTCTATCTCGATGTTGTGCTTCGTGTTGCCCTTGCCCCGGCTCCAGAGGAACAGCAGCACCAGGCAGAAGAGGACCACGCCCAGGAAGGAGATGAAGCCCATGGTGGTGGCGATGATGAGGGTCTTGATGTCGAAGGGGAAAGGCACGGTGGCGCGGGTGCTGTTGGCCTCTCCCTCACCCGGCTGGTTGGAGATGAAGGCAAACGTCTTGTTGGGCTGATGGGGCCAGTCGGGCGAGTAGCTGCGTACGTGCAGGTGGGCGGGCATGGAGTCGTTGCCACCCGCGTTGGCTGCGATGCACAGGTACGTGCCGTTGTCCTGTACCTGGGCGTAGCGCACCTCCAGCGTGCCGTCGGGGAAGACCGTGAGCCGCCCATTGCTCTTGGCCGAGACCAGGTGCTTGCGGGGTGAGAGCCAGAGGATGGCGGGCGGCGGGTCGCCATCCGCCCGGCACACGAACTGCACCGTGTGGCCCTCATCCACAAACACCTGCTGGGCCTTGCGGTCCCGGATGCGGGCGCGGCGGCAGGTGAAGTAGTTGGGCAGGAGCACATCCGGGAAGTCCTTGAACTCCTTGCCCTGTACGAACTCGGGTGTGGCGCACGTGGGCTGCTGCCGGTTGAAGTTGAGCCGCCAGCGGCGCCGGAACACCCACAGGAGCCGGCAGTCGCAGGCCAGAGGGTTGGAGTCTAGGATCAGAGTCTCCAGGTTGCCCACCGAGTGGAAGGCGGACTCCTCCAGGGTGGTCAGCTGGTTGCCAGAGACATTGAGCACACGCAGGTAGTTGAGGCCGCGGAAGGCATAGGGCTCCACCACAGCCAGCTGCCCGCCCACCAGCTGGATCTCCTGCAGCCGTAGCAGCTCATGCAACATGGAGCCCTCTATGGTGCCGATGGGGTTGTAGGAGAGGTTGAGGAAACGGAGATAGACCAGGTGGCGCACGGCCAGGTAGGGCACGGCGGTCAGATTGCAGTGTGTGATGGACAGAGACGTCAGGTTGAGGCCGTAGAGGCAGTTGGGGGTCATGGTGTCCAGATAGGGCCAATGGGAGATCTCCAAGACTTTGAGCCGGTACAGCCTCTTGAAGGAGTAGTCCCGGATGGCGTTGATGTTGAGGTGCCGGAGTCGCAGGACGATGAGACCGTGCAGGTGAGACAGCGCCTCGGTGGGGATGGAGGTCAGATTGCATTTCTCCAGCGTCAGCTGCTCCAGGCTGTTGAGGCCGCTGAAGGCGCGGTGGGAGATGTAGACCAGGTCGTTGTCGCCGACCTCCAGCGACTTGAGGTTGTACAGGTCCTGGAACATGTAGTCCAGAAGGATGACGATCTTGTTCTCGCTGATGTCCAGCTTGGTCAGGTTGCTGAGGCCTGTGAAGACGCCCAGGGGGATGAGCTTCAGGCGGTTGCTGCGGAGCCCCAGCGTCCGGAGGTTGAAGAGGTTGTTGAAGGCGCCGGGCTCCACGGCGCTCACGATGTTCTCGTTGAGCTCCAGCTCCTCTAGGTGCGGGAAGCTGGCAAACTCGTCCTGGTTGAGGGTCTTGATGCGGTTCTTGCCCAGGTCCAGCAGGCGTGTCTCCGTGGGGATGCCCTCTGGCACCGCCACGAAGCGCTTGCGGTGGCAGAGCACAGCACGGTCCTGAGCCGAGCACTCACAGCGAGGTGGGCAGCCTGTGGCCGAGCCTGACAGCACCGAGCCCAGCACCAGCAGGAGGATGGGCTGCCAGCAGGCCAGGAGGGGGCTGGGCATGCTCCTTGCGCCCCCCGCCAGCATCCTCTCGCTCACCTGTAGCCGGAAGCAAGCACAGGACAGAGGTGGCAATGAGAGGCCAGTATTTGGTAAGACCCCACCCTGAGCCCTCTGTGCCCCATCAGGGTATCCCTGATGCAGATAGACAGGGTGCAGAGTAACCCAGGACACCTCTTGGGACCCCATAGTGAGGTCCAGATGCCCAGGTTAGAGGGCCTCCTGCTGCCCAGCCTGCTTCCCCCTTGCCTCTTGCCCTGCCCAGAGCCCTCTGGCATCCTGAGGATAAGGTGGGTTCAGGAAAGGGACAGTGCCACCTCCTTAACCCTCCTGCTCCATCAGGAATTAAGTCAGCCCTGCTGAGCTTCCCTGGGGCTCACAAAGGGGATCAAAGTGGCTCAAGGGTAGATATTTCTGGGGAAAGCCCTGAGAGGAGTGAGGAGGAGCCTGCCTGGCCCCCAGGAGGTGGATGAGGGCTTCAGAGGCAGCTGGGCTCTGAGAGCAAGGTGGGCAGACACTATTCCCCTCTCCACCAGCCCTGCGCCTAAGCCCAAGTCCTAGGCACTCAGCACACTTCTAAAAGTACCTCTTATTCTCACCAATCTGCTCCCTGATGGGGCTCCGGGGTCAGGATTGGGCATCCCCATCGAGAAGCCAGTAGCCAGCCCTGCAAATCCCAGCTGACCACCCTGCGGAATCCCCCAGACTCCCCTTCCTCTGGGCCCCAATGCTGACTCAGCTACGGCTCCTCAGCCCAGGGAACACGTTCTCCTGCATCCTGATCTTGGCGCTATGGTCCTCCCATAGGACTGCTCCCCCCACCCACCCGCCCACTGAAATCCCCTCTGGAAGGCCTGATTGAGGCCCACTGCTCTGTGAAGCTTTCTTTGACCCCCAATGGGGAGAGTGCTCTTCCAAAGACCCCTCACCCTCTTCTGCCTCTCAGGGCTCTGGGCAGCTCTCCCTAGCAACAGGATTCTGTGTAGCTGCTAGAAGCAGAAAAGCAGCGGGGTTCCCACAGCCCAGGAGGGACAGCCCTGGAGGCTCTGGTCCACACTGCACAGCAAGAGCGTGAGGTTTGCTAAATGTGGGCCCTGAAGAAACGTGGCACTTAGGTGTGGTGACAAGAGACAGTGCCAGGGATCGAGTACAGGCTGCGGGTGGAGTAAGCCAGGGGTGTGTGGGAACAGCCCCTCATTACTCTCCTATCCCATTTTCAGAGGAATCCCCCAGACTCCTCCTGCCCCAGGCTGCCCCTCTCTTCCCACCTCCACAGTGGCAAGCAGGTTGAGGGGTGTTGGGGGGGCCTAGTTCCGACTCCAGGAGCCATTGCCTCCAAGTGATAGCAGGTGGACCAGACGGTCTGTGGAGACAGAGCTGCAGATCTCCTGTTGCTGGTGGGTAAGGACCCACCTCTGCTCCTCCACCGGCCCCCAGCACCCTTGAAACTCTGCAGCTGTGTCTATTTCCTATACTCCTGGCCCTGAAAAGGGCTTGCTGCATGCCGGGGAGGCCCCAGTTAGGTGTCCCACTCTGGCTCAGCTCAGTCCTTCCTCCACCCCTCCCAATCCTCCCCACCTCCATACAGCCTCTACTTCAAGGCCACAGATCATCCATACTTGTTAGTCAAAACTGTTAAGGCAACTAAGACTCAGAGATGCTGTGGCTGTCCCAGGACACCTAGCCAGCAGAGGGAGCAGATGTGGGGTAGAAGCTCTGGTCTGTCACATTCCAATGATATAACACACTCTGGAATGCTCCACTGGTCTTCCAGATAGACAGGTGTTTCTGGTTGTTGATTGACTAAGTGACTGATTAACCAGAGAGGACTCAAGATTTTGTGTCATTGACATGTTATGGAATCTGGAAGGCTTTGTTATCCCTAAGGGCTCTGTTCAACTCCCGCCCCCAGTCCTTTCATTCTCTCACCAGATTCTTCTGTGGTTCAGCTTCTCCCCACCCCACCCCCACCAGGCCATTTTCCACAGTCACACACGCTCCAATGACCCACCAGAAAAGCAAACATCCTGACAGACGATCAATAAGTAATTGGGCCAGCAGCTGGGACTGGCGCGGGTGTGAGGCTGGGGACCTCAAGAGGTAAATAGGACTTTTAGCACCCAGCTCAGGGCTGAACTGGTGGGTGGTGTGGGAGCTACTGGAAAGGAGGTTGAGGAAGGAGAGGGACAGTAAGGACACAGGCCCCCTTGGGATGCTGGAAGTCCCTCATACAGAATGCACCTGGCATTCCCCATTTTTATCACCTGACCTTGACCTGCCCGTCAACCTCCTTTCCCACCACTCTCCCAGCAGTGCCATATTCCAACCTTTAAGCTGTCCCCTTTTGGAGAACTGTCCCAGCCCCCGATCCCAGCAGTCTTTGCGTTCCCACTCTAAAGTCCCTCCCTTCCCCGAAACCCTCCGTGCCCCACTCCATTAGCCATCACCTCCCCCACGGCGTTCTGTGATACAGTGCGAGTCTGCATAGCATTCCTCATTCCAAAAGTGATTTGAACCCACTGGCTCCAGTTATGAAAAGTTATGCTGCAAGATGATAAAGAAAAGAAAGCTAAAGAAAGGAAGCCAGGAAAGAATGCCTCAAAGTCCTGTGTATGACTAAAGTGGAGCTTCCTAGTGACCTGGGCAAAGAGGGAAAACTGCTGCAAGGCCTCAGCATTTGGCGCCTCTCCTGTATGTTTCAGACTGGGCCAAATAATTACTGGTGTATTTGTCCCACCTGCTAGGGTAAGGTGCCCAAGGTGTGGCACAGAACAGGCCAGGATGAGTGTTCTTTGAAACAGGGGCATGAGTGAGTTTTTGCAGGGGTAGAAAGAAGCCTCTCTGATGGGGCTGACCCTGGAACAATAATACCTAGGTTTATTTTTTTTTCCCCAGTATTGAGGATTGAACACAGGGGTACTTAACCACTCAACTACATCCCCAGTACCCTCCTCCGCTTTTAAATATTTAGATAGGGTCTCACTAAGTTGCTTAAGTTGGCCTTGAACTTGCAATCCTCCTGCCTCAGCCTCCCGAGTTGCTGGGACTATAGACATGAGCCACCCTGCTCTGCTGATACCCAGGGAATTTAAATGTGTTGATGGAAAAGCTGGTTTGACTTGCTCTGTCTAGCTGCCACCAACAAGCTAGACAGTTACACGCTCAGTGTGGTGGGCCAGGCTCCACAGGACAGGACAGCCCTGGTGGGCACGTCCTCTGAATCATCTCATCCTCTGTCTTTTACAGGTGTGGAAACTGAGACCTGGAGATCTTGACTATGCTCTTGTGGCCTAGCAAGATCGCAGCACGCTGGGCCTAGTCCCAGGTCTCACACCTCCATGGCATCCCTGTTACCTAGAGATGCTGGGGCCATCATGTCTGACTGGCAACGTGTGGTTCTTGCCTTCCTGGCATGGTCAGTCCTGCTGGCCACTCCTGCGTTGCTGCAGAGAGGTGTTTTATGCATTTTAATCAGTGCTTTGGTTTGGATCCTTGCCCCCTGAAGGGTTTTCCACAAGGGCAAAAATTAAAAATTGGGCCAATAAATAAAAAAGAAAATATAAACATCAAAGGCAGGCAGGTGGGCAGCAGAGACAGCTGTGCCTAGGGCATGAGGCACAGAGTCTATGGCAGCCCTGGTCCCAGATCAGGGGTTATTGGAGGGTGCAGAGAAGTGGGGCCATCAACCTGCCCTGCAGAGGGTGAGACCCGGGCTCTGAGCTGACCCCACAGTGGGGACGGACAAGCTCTAGTCACCACCCACACCTTCATGTGCCTGACACAGGCCACAAGTAGTTCTCTGCAGCCACTGGTCACTGTGTGACCTCAGGCAATGCCTGCACTCTCTAGCCTACTTCCCCCATTGCACAGTGAGTGGCTGGATTCCAGGGTCCCTGAAGGAGTTGGCAACAGGAACTGGACTTCCTCCAACTGGACAAGCAGGGGAGAGGGGCCCAGGCTGCACACTGCAGTTTCACCTGAGCTGGGAGAATCTCCGTGAAGGTGGCCCCAAGTTGGTTGGGGGTTCGCATTCCAGCTGTTGCTCGAGGGCTCAGGAAAAGAGGGTGACTGGTGGAGAAGGGGTGAAGGTCACCCATGGGTGGGCTTGGGGAACCTCAAAGGGAGTCACCCTGTTCTATAACCAGCATCTGGAGGCCCCTGGCGGGCAGGACTGTGTCTCCTCACAGCAGCCAGACGGGTGGCCCACACACGCCCGCCAATCAGAAAAAGCGAGAGACTAGCATTTGGAGACCTCCAGCAATGGGCAGGGTTTGGGGCTTTTCACACACTGTCTCAGAAACTCTCCAGCAACACCTGCTTTACAGGTGAGAAAACTGAGACTTCAGAGAGGGAAGTCACTTGTCCCAGACCAAGGCTACAAAGCTGGGCAGTGGCAGACCTCTGATCCCTGGTGGGTCTGCCTGTCCTCAGAGCCTCCCGGTGTGAAGTGGGATTCTCCAGGATCTTGCAGGCCACTCCAGGGAGGGGCCAGCATGTCATGGCCGGGCTAGGCTAAGGCCCCAGGGCTGAGGGAAGGTGCCAGTCCTCAGCGGCACGCAGACATCTTGCTTCCCCAAGTCCAGTGGCCAGAAAGCAGTCCCTTCTTTGTGTTCAGCTCTAGGTGCTCCATCATTTAAAGGCATGGTAATGCCCATTACAAGAAAACACATCTGCTCAGAGGCAGCCAGAACCAAGCGGTTGGGGATGGCGTGAGGGCCTTCCAGAAAGCACTCCAGTCACCCCAGCCTGGGCCCATCCTCCCGCCGCTCCAAGCTAGAGATCTGTGATACCTTCATGACCCAGCTCAGGGTCCCCTTTCCATCCAGGAGCTCTTCTCAACCCCCAGGAAGAAGGGATCAACCTCCAGGTCCTCTCCAGGTCTCAGGCCACCCTCTGCCAGGCACTGCCCATGTGTTTCCTCCCCTCCAGGGGTGCTTCTGGGGCCCCCAGATTGAGAACGCCACGCAGGGCTAGGCCTCATTCAGCTCAGCACCCCTAGGTCTGGCCTGTCCCACTCGAAGGAACAGTCAAGAGAGCCC